GCATGAACTACTTTTTAACTCAATATAAAATAAAAATGAAAAAATGAAAGTCAATTGATGGTATCTTCTGACTAGTGGATAGAGCGTTTGCTGGAAGATCAGTCTACGAAACTACGAGTCGCGATGCTGAAGGTAACATCAATCAGCTAATTGATAAATGTTCTATTTGTATTTCTATTTATATATATATATATATATATATATATATATATATATATATATATATGAATTTTTATACATTCTTTTTATAGATACAAATATTTAAGTAAACGCTCTGTTTTATAATAAACAGTATTAAACAACATTTACCGGCCTGAATGTCCGAGAAATTTCCATAGAAAATTTTCGTCCTCCGACAGGAACCTGTATCCTATACGGAACCGTCATATAGCCTGACGTGCCTTTAACCGATTGGGCCACAGAGGAGCGTTCGGTTAGCAAGGTCGATTTTACTGTCTTTAAACTACAATCTTCCATGATTCTCTTACGTACATTCATATCTGCTCATGGCGTATCAAATGTAAACAAATGACATCACACATTATGAAAGGGATAAAGTCCGACAATTATTTTAAGACATTTTTATGTTTATACATTCTTTTTATAGATAAAAATATTTAAGTAAATGCTCTGTTTTATAATAAACAGTATTAAACAACATTTACCGGCCTGAATATATATATATTTACTAAAATAGCAAAAATAAAAGCTATAGCTTAAATAAAATAAATATATAAAATAAACTGAGGGTTCAATGCCAAACCTAAATATAATATAATGTTATCAATAACAAAATTCGCTACATAGAGATTCATGCAGTAACAATTATTATACAAATTTTGGTATATTTGTCGCTACTCAGAGTTTCAAATATATTATATCCACTCGTCATATAACTTGATTTTAAAAATGAATTTATTTTCCAAAATCATATTTTTAAGAAAAAAAAGTGATTTCTGAAAATAATTTTACATTAAAGTCTGTGTAGATACAAGGTCTTTGAACGTTTAACTTTATTTAGTATTATATAGTCTGGAAAAAATCTGTGTTTAAAGGTACTATTCACCTGTGCCTGTCTATCGTCGTACTTCCTGGCCGACAGGTTTAAAGCACGTCATGTTTAGTGACGGTTTTCCCCTAAGGGACATATGGTTCGAATCTTTCTCGGATTTTCATGCCGGTAGATGACAATAACTAAATATACTCTTTAATAAATAAACGGTGTGCTTTTTTGTTTCAATTTTCTCTTCTTGATGGCTACATTGATTCACCTGGTACGAACTAAATGATTTCTCTCCGGAATTGAATTTGTTGAGGCTGGAGGCATTGTGCCGTAATGGTTAGCGGCGGCTCGAATTGAGGAATCGGAGAGCCGAGTTTGAATTCCAGTGGAGTTCATTGCATTCCCTTACTTAAGAAATAAATATATCCATCTCTTCTCCCCCAGCTATGGGTAATATAGTATAGACTGGGTCCTATAGCCTTGGATGACACCCAGTTAAGGGAGAAAGAAACTCTTAATTCAAATCAACCTTCTGCCTTGTAGGTCATGTCTTTTTAGGCAAAGGCTAGAAGATAACTTCAAAAACAAATCCACCTTCGAGAGGAGGGATGGAATAACCTCAACATCCCCGATGCAAAAAGAACCAGTATTATTCCGCTTTGAATGTCACCATGAACCACAATTGTGAGATGGAGGGAGGTAGTGACGACAGCGGCGCAAAATGCGCTGACTGAAGAAAAATGAATATATATATATATATATATATATATATATATATATATATATATATATATATATATTAAGACATTTTTATGTTTATACATTCTTTTATAGATGCAAATATTTTAAATGCTCTGTTTATAATAAACAGTATTAAACAACATTTACTGGGGCCTGATGTTCGAGAAATTTTCATAGAAAATATTCGTCCTCCGGTAAATGTTGTTTAATACTGTTTATTATAAACAGAGCATTTACTTAAATATTTGTATCTATGAAAAGAATGTATAAACATAAAAATGTCTTAAAAAATAATTGTCGGATTTGATATATATATATATATATATATATATATATATATATATATATATATATATATATATATATATGTGTGTGTGTGTGTGTGTGTGTGTGTGCGTGTAAAATGAAATGCCCTAAAATATTGAAACTTTCTCCATTATGTATTACGTAATCATCATCATCATCATCTTCATCAATGCCTTGACTTTTATAATCGTATTGGGAGAGATCCGAATGCATAAGCCGCACTGAATCTCCTACACAACGGTAGCCATCAGCAATTCTGTTATAATCATACGTGTCCATTGTTTGACATTGTCCAACCACTTTTTGCGTTGGCGTCATCTTCTTCGTCCACCTTTAATCTTGCCTTGACTGATGGTCTTGCACAGGCTGTTGTGCCTTGCAACGTGTCCAAACCACGCCAATTTTCTCCGTTTAATAGTGACGAGAAGAGGTTCATGGTAGCCCACAAAACTTTCAACCATTTTCCGCACAAACGCATTGGTTTTATGTTCCCAATAAAATATTCCAAGGAGTTTTCTCATGCATTTATCCTCAAACGCCGTAAGCTCCCATGGCTGTGGCAATCTGTGTGCGGATTTTCTGAGTTGCAGGTCCAGTCTTTTAAACAAGATTGATCCAAAGTGTTTAAAACTAAACTTCTTCCAATGAATTCCTATTCATGGTAATGTTGACACAGGTGTTACTGTTTGTGGTATTCGCCATTACTTTGGATTTCTTGTATATGACGTAATATGTACAGAAAAAAAATTCGCCCCACTTAGACTGCGTAGCTGTGGCCTCTATGGCACATGTTTTGACCGCTGAATGATTGCTAAGAGCAGAAAGATGCAGCTATTCATCATCGATGTGGTTACGGCTTTTTCCCGGGTCACACTTGTAAGGGTATATATATATAAAAAATATGAAAATCTGTTCAGGACGTTGGCGATCATGTCTCTCTACAGTTTCATGCCTTTATTAGTTCTTAATATATTTTGTTTTTTCTTATCTCTCCTATTCCTTGTTCTGACATACATTTAATCAAGCCTTTGAGGTAGGTTATACGTTGTCGTTCTCTGTCCATCTTGGCTTCAATATATCCTGTGAGTTTCAAATTTCTTAAACCTTCTTTCCTCATTATGTGCCCAAGGCATTTCAACTGTCTCTTTCTGATGTTAAGTATAAGTGTCTTTTTGGTTTCCGTTTTCTCTAAAACTTCGTCGTTGCTCGCATGTTCCGTCCATGGCATTCTCAATATCCTTCTGTAGAACCACATTTATATTGCTTCCTCTTTTGTGTAAAGGAGATAGTACCTGTGATATACAACAACAACAACAACAACAACAACAACAATAATAATAATAATAATAATAATAATAATAATAATAATAAGGATGGCACAAATAAGGGTAGTATTAATAAAAAGAAAAACATATACATATTATTGACAAGGAAATATACAGTTGTATATTTGTGGATGAAACATTGTTTTATATTTTTTCGAATTTGAGAAAATTTATGATTTTTTTCTAAAGTTAAATGCATTTATTTTAATAAGATATTTTTATTACTTCAAACGTTATTACAGTGAACACTTCTTATTTGAAATAGACTACCCATTTTTATTTTTTAAGCAGTATGTATTACGTTTCTCGAAACACAGGCCGATGCACGTAATACAACCTATTTAATAAAAATTGGCGTCTATTTCAAATTCGAAGTGTCCACTATAATAACGCTTCTAATAATAATATATATATATATATATATATATATATATATATATATATTATGCGCAACTAATAATAATAATAATAATATATATATATATATATATATATATATTATGCTCAACTAATAATAATAATAATAATAATATATATATATATATATATATATATATATATATATTATGCTCAACTAAGTTCATAAAATTACACCAGTAAATATGACTGGGAGCGCTTATATCAAATTTAAAAATAATTATACGCACACACACATGCCAACAAATATATATATATATATATATATATATATATATATATATATATATATATATATATATGACCGATTTCCAGCAACAGTTTTTCAGGTCTCAGTATTGATGCTGGCCTGTGTCACGAATGTCTTCACCTGATCCTTGAAGCGCCGTTTTGGGTGTCCGCGTGGCCTCTTGCCGCTGGCGAGTTTTCCAAACAGGATAACACCTGGGAGTCGAGTGAGACGCATTCTGGACACGTGACTATGTATAAACTTTGTGAGACAAACACACACATGTATGTGTAGATATAAAACAAAGATTTTATTTCAACAAGAAATTTACTAAAAATATGATAAAAACAATTGACTAGATGACGTTCCTGTAGATAACATTTTAATGGAAACAATCTTTGTAATTATAATGTTCTAAAGCAACTGCGAGTGCATTGTTTTTGTAAATATGGACTATAAAAAAACTTTTACTAAATACCACAAAGAGACTGAATAACTTTTAAGATACATTCAAAGAAAAGAAGGCTTAAAGAAGTGTTAAGAGATACAGAAAGAAAAAGAAATAGAGAAAAGTACTGAGACGCAAAATTTTAGGCAAATGAACGGGGAAAGAAGTTGCTATTGAAGTAAGTGTTCCTTAAATAAACAGGAAGCTGAAGAGAATCATGGTCGCCTACAGAAAGATTGAGAAAGAGATCGAATGATTGATTCGTTTTCTACGGCTTATAAAACATTTCAAACGTTTACATGTTATTTAAACCAGAAAATGTTTAGATTTTAAGAATTTTTTTTAGATAATAATGGTTTAGTGATAAAAAAATACTAATTAACCCATAGCAGGGGGAGAACAAGTGGATTAATATCTTTCACAAGAGTATTTGCGCGTAAGTAAATATAACAAACCCAACGGGAATTGGAACTCCGCTCTCCAATTAACAATTCCGAGCCATTATCCATTACACCACCTGCACCTCCAAGTTTACAGCACCTGGTATTCTCAAGCGATCACCCATCTAGATACTGACTAGGCTCGACGTTGCTTAACTTTGGTGATCGTACGCGGGTCGGCGTTTCAATGTGATGTGGCTGTAAGCCTGAAAAAGCGAGATAGAGAGTTTGAGAGAGAGACGCAGATGCATGCTGCCTTTTTCATAGCATTTTACTCCCAATGTTAGATATTATAATGACTTTGTTTAATAGTAATTAAATTGTTCTCATTTCTGTACGCAATCAGCCATCTTGATTTAAAAATCTCTCAACAGATTGTGATTATTTTATTAGTCCAGCCTTATTCGTCTCAGAGTACACCCGCGTTTGAGAGACTCAGACAAAAATGGCGTCTGCTTTATTTCGAATGATTAAAACCAGGGTATAATAAAATTTATATTCTTTGTTGCCCACGCTGTATATTTATTAGCGAAACATGATTTTTTAAAAATTTTATTTTGTAGCATACACACAGTATATAGTAACAAGTGCCACGGATTTCATACTCAGGTTTTTAATAGTGGAAAGCTACCGATCTAAAACACGAAAGGCAATATTAATATTTGCTTCGATTGTATTTGAAATTTCACCAAAGCGATCTATTAGCAGAAACAGAAATCTTTGTAAAAATAAAAAAAATATTAAAACAAATACGACGATTTCGTAGGTGAACAAAACTTTGAAAATAAAGAATGTAGTTTTTTCTTCGACCAAAGATTTGGGAATTATTTCGAAGATCAAAAGCCAGTCTAAAACGAACAAAAGTGTAAAGAGGTGTTGAAAAAGGAACCGGTTTGGTCGAGCTCAAAGACTCAATTCTGCTTTTTGATCGTCTTAAAAACGTGACTGTTTTGCGTCAAACATATACAATGCATTTTCCTAAAGTTTCAGAAATCAATGAGCTGAGAAATAAACCCTTGAATTGTATGCCGCCGTTTATAAAGCGAGATTTTGCTTCTTGTGCTTTTTGCTTTGTTGTGGGAAAAACAGAACTTATCTCTTTACTCCAATTGAAATGTGCGTTTTTTTTTTATTTTTCTTTCAAAAGAAGATGAAAATATGAAACAAGAACTGGATATGAATTCCAAAATAAATTGAATATGTTTTTTTTTCTTCCAAAAGGCATTATTTACGGATTTTTAAAACTTAATATAAAAGCTAGAAATTTCAGAAGCAAACAAAAAGATTAAAAAAAAAAAAAAGAAAAAGAGAGTGAAAATTTTTAGAAATAAGCAGACGAAGAGATAATGAATGAAGTATGAAGAGTGAGAAAAAGGGAGATAATCGAGAAAGAAAGAAAGAAAGAAAGAAAGAAAGAAAGAAAGAAAGAAAGAAAGAAAGAAAGAAAGAAAGAAAGAACATGTCAGGTAGAAAAAAATACAAAACAAAAGGAAGAAGAAAACAGAAGAAAAACCAGAAAGAAAGAAATATTCAGAAAGAAAAAGGGAGATAGAAAACATTAAAGAAGAACGAGAGATTTAGTAAAAGCTTGAACCCGGAGAGGCAGACGAAATAGGAGAGAAAAAAAAATGATGAAAATAACATATATGCATCAGAAGAATCCGTAGATGTGCATTTATTCATATTGGAATCTACAGAATTTATAATATGTTATGCAAATTGAGATAAGCTAATTGAATTCTACGTGCTTTATTTGAATGGTTCGTTTTTATTTTGATTGGTTTAATGGATCGTAACGTTTTAATAGAGTTATCCGAGAAAAATTAATCCAATATATTGGCTTTGATCCAATTATTCTTGGCTTATCCATTGAAAAATTTCAAAGACTAAAACACCCTTTCCCTCATGCAAGTGAATATATATATATATATATATTCATATATGTATGTGTGGTCATGTGTTTGCATATATATAAGTGGTTGTCTGTGTATGTGTATTTATATATATATATATATATATATATATATATATATATATATATATATATATATATATATATATGTATATGTATATGTATATGAATATGTGTGTGTATGTATGTATGTATGTATGTGTGTGTATGTTTATGTGGGCAGATAAACATACGTGTGCATATGAGATTAGATAAACATACGGAAATATTTTTCTTACAGAATGTAATTATTTCTGATGATATGCTGGGATTATATATGGGTGTGGGGTCATGCGCCGAAAATTTCACCAAAAAAAAGATACAAAACTAGAGGAATCTTTGGAGTGATTTGCAATCTCCAATATTCTTCGAAATCATGCAACACGCAAGCTATTTTCTATTCTTACGTATGTATATTTGCGTCTAATATACCGATGGTTCTTTCGGTGCAGGTGCTAAAAATTTATCGGCTCGACCCACACACGATTCCACAAACGTTCTGATGTACGGGTTAGGCAAAAGTCGCGCACCATAGGGGTTAATTAATTAATCATTTTTGAAAGGTTTAATTTGTTTTGAGAGTTCCTGTTGAGTGGCCACCGAGATCACCAGACCTCACACCCTTGGATTCTTTTTTTTTTCTGTGGGGGCCATTTGAAATCAGTTGTTTATCAGACGCGCACGAGGAAATATTTAGAATTCAATATGAATGCCGTAAAATGAAAGAGGGAACCCTCTAATGTGTTAATGAATCACGCAGATACAGAATTGAAATATGTTTTGAAAAAGAAGGAGGACATTTTGAACAGCACTTATAACAATTAAATAAGCCACAAATAATATTTCAGGTGTAATTATACTCTTAATAAATTATACATATGATGCGCCACTTTTGCTTCACCCTGTATATTTATTCATTTACCTGGAACTTGAATGGACTGTGAACCAATTAGCACCGACGCACCCCGCGTATATATATATATATATATATATATATATATATATATATATATATGTGTGTGTGTGTGTGTGTGTGTGTGTGTGTGTGTGTGTGTGTGTGTTTGTGTGTGTGTGTGTGTGTGTTTAATTAATACAAGTAAAAGATTTGTCACTTAGTTCATTGATATGACCTTCAGCATTCCGACTGCACAGTTTCGTAAACAGTCCCTCCGGGAATCACTCCATCCACTCGACAGTGGATATCAGTATTTGACGGGTTATATTTCTCGATTTTTCTTTTTATATGTACTTTTCATTTGTGCAGGTTTTTTTTTAAAGGCTTTTCACTGTTTATATGTGCGTATGCGTGTGCGTATACGTGTGCGTACGCGTGTGCGTTCGTGAACGTGTGTCTATGCACCCGTCAGAGCGTATGTGCGTATCGCTATAAAGTCGTTATTGTTTGTCCTTTTAGTCGTTTTTTTTTCTTTACACTCATTCCCTGACTTTTTCTCTTTTTCCCCTTTTCTTTCAATAATGCACATAATGCTTTATGAGTTCAAGAAAGGAAACTCAGCAGCCGAAGCGGCTAGAAACATTCACTCAGCTTATGGAGAGGAATGTGTGAATGAAAGAACTTGCAGAAGATGGTTTGCAAAATTCAGAGGTGGAGATTTCACCCTTGAAGATGAAGATCGAACCGGACGTCCAGTTGAGTTTGATGAAAAGCTTCTTGAAGTTGAGGAATTGGCAGTGGTTCTCAGTTCAAACCATACAACTGTTCATCGTCATCTTCAAGAACTTGGAAAAGTTCCTAAACTTGGAAAATGGGTGCCTCGTGAATTGTCTGAAAACAACTTCAGATCCCGAGTTGACATCTGCTCTTCTCTCCATTCTCGCCAACTTGTTTCACCTTTTTTGGATAGACTTGTGACTGGCGACGAAAAATGGATGTTTTATCGAAATGTTAAGCGTTGTAGACAGTGGCTTGGTAAAGGGGAAGGACCCCAGCCACAGCCGAATAGGGAACTTCATGGGCAAAAGGTTCTTCTTTCAATCTGGTGGGATCGCCAAGGAATAATCCACTTTGAATTCTTACCACCTAATGCAACAATTAATGCTCAAATATACTGTCAGCAATTAGAGCGTTTGAATCAAGCTTTGAGGAAAAAAAAGACCTGCTCTAGTAAATCAAAAAAGGTGACGTTTCATCAGGACAATGCGCGACCCCACAGCAAAGCAAGAATCACGTCACAAAAGATCGAAGAACTTGGTTGGGAGAAAATTCCTCATCCACCTTATTCATTGATCTTGATCCTTCAGACAACCATTTGTTTTCGTAGCTTACAGAATCATTTGGAAGAAACAGCTTTTGTAACACAGGAAGAGGTTAAAACTGACATTTGTGAGTTCTTTGAATCAAAGCTAAAAGAATTTTACAGTAATGGAATTAGTAAGGTTGTTAATAGATGGAAGGATGTTATAGATAATCAGGGAAAATAACATTGTTGATTGAATCTGTAATTAAATGTAACATTTGGTCACTTGTTTTCTTTATTCAAAATTCGGACAGAACTTATGGGATGATCTGATATATATATATATATATATATATATATATATATATATATATATATTTATTTATTTAAAAATTATAACATAAATATGTTATAAAATCACTACAAAAATAGCCATTTTGTTTCAACACTTCTGGTGTCTTATCTAGTGATGTTTTTAACAACTAATAAGCCATCATCTTTATATAATACTACACTATCAGAATCTAGACATTCATATATATATATATATATATATATATATATATATATATATATATATATATATATATAAAGAGAGAGAGAGAGAGTGAGAAAGCTAAAAGAAGAAAAGTTAATGAATCCCCAAATAAAAAGAATTAGAAGAGAAATTAAAGAAAAGAATAAAGACAAGGATAGAAATTTAAAGGGAAATGTAAAAAAAAAAAATCTACATAAAAACAAACCAGAAAGTAAAATAATAAAAAGGGAAGAAAAATAATAAAAAAAGAGAAAGTTTCTTGTCGACGAAAAATATTCGCTAATGTAAGGAAAAAGTTAAAGTTAGAGAGAAGAAAAGGAAAAGAAAAAGAGAGATAATAAAAATAGTATCTATAAAAAAGAAAAATGAAAAAGAAGAAAGAAAGAAAGAAAAATTAACTCATAAAAAATAAAAAAAGGAATATAAGAAGATAAAAAGAAAAAAAAATGAAGAGAGCAAAAGAACAGCAAAGAGAAAAAAGCATTCAAGATAAAAAGGAAGCGATAATGAAAAA